ACTCGAACTGCAGTCAACTACATGGGAGTCCAGCAACATAGCCATTATGCCAACTGCTAGTCCTGAGGAAATACACACTCTAAAAAAAAATCAAATGGACCTGTTAGAGATGAAGGGTATAATACATGAAGTCAAAATCTCCCTTGAAAATATTAAAAGCAGACTAGATCATACAGAAAATCAAATCTCAGATGTAGTAGAATTGCTAGCCTAAAAAAATCCACCACAAAGACTGAGAAAATTGCCCCCAAAAATGAGAATAATATATGAAGAGTACTAGATACCATCAAACATACAAATATCCGTATAATTGGTATCCCAGAAAGCGAAGACTCATAAGGGCATTGATAATCTATTTCATGAAATCATACAAGAAAACTTCCCAAACCTAGAGAGGCATTCAAAGATCCAGTCCCTAGAAATACAAAGGATCCCAAATAGAATCAGCCCAAGAAGATCTTCTCCAAGACACATTATAGCCACATTGACCAAAACCACAGACAAAGACAAGATACTAAGACTGGCAAGAGAGAAATGACAAGTTACCTACAAAGGATATCCCATAAGGCTAACAGCGTACCTCTCATCGGAAACAATGCGAGCAAGGGAAGAATGGAAAAATACACTTAAAGTGTTAAGGGAAAAGCAATTTCAACCAAGAATATTGTACCCAGCAAGATTATCTTTCATATGGGAAGAAAAGACAAAGAGTATTCTCAGATAAACAAAACCTGAAAGAATTTACCAACACCAGACCAGATCTCCAAGAAGTTCTCAAGGGAGTGTTATATCAGGAAAATTAAATACAGACACACAGAAATAAGAGTTCAAAGACTAAGAAAACGACCAACTTAATCATAGAGACACATTTGGAGTTGAATATTACAGAATTTAACCTGGAAGATGGGGCCACATCAGAAGATAAAGTATGTAAGACTGAACTGGTGAAATAGTATTTTATGACTTTTGACTAGAACATTGCTGATTTTCTTTTAGGCTTTGTTTTCCAGTTTTAAGGATTTTTGTCCTGTCTTGAGCTGTCGGTAGGTTTATATACCTACTATTTTAACAGAATCCTAACCTGTTTCCTGGCTCTAAGTTTTAGTGAAGTTCCTTAGCATTTCTTTGATTTATTAAAGCTAAAACTGCTTTTCTTGAAATTAAAAAATACCTACTTAATGACTATAGTCAGCTTTATAGCATCAGCTAGGTGCTACCTTATAGTATATTCATTCTACTCAGAGTTTCACGTCTAAAGTCAGACATGTATTCACTGATATGTATATACCAGCTGAACTTGCTATTGAAAGTAGTTAGATTACTGAAGAAATTTTGTGAATCAATAAAATGTGGGGGAGAAAAGGAATGGAAAACACCTGTAGACACCTGAGATAGTGTGGGAAGAGGGTGGGAAATGGCAGGGAGTGAGAAACAGGAGTAAAATATATATATATACAGGTATATATATGAAACTACAAATGGAAAATTAAGGACGATAACATGTATGATTAAGCCACTATGCAGTATATTCTGGACAGGAAATCACATTTTGTATGCTGTGACAATGCTCAGGAAATTAATGTAAATTAATCATCAGAAGAAAATTACAGTGCACTTGTAACTAGATTCTTGCTTTGTGCATAGTTTTAAAGTATTCTGTGAATCAATAATACGTTGAAAAAAATTTAAAAATAAGACAAAATTTAATAAAAGAGAATCTTTCCAAGCCCCATTTTACCTGTAACACCAAATGCCTGTGTCTGGTGTCTTCTAGGTGTAAGTCGCCTCTATCCAAGTGGGACCTAAACAACGACAGATACTCATTCTGGCGACTGATATCTGTGGCTAATATCAAAGCACCTATCTGAGTCTCCATTTGTTTCCTGGAATTAGAGAAATATAAAGAGAAAATATAAGACTCTCAACTAGTTACTTTGTTATTTTTTTGTAAATATTCAGACAGCTTTATAGAGCCCTAAGATATTTTAAAGGTCATTCGTTTTAAGCTATTCAACTTAAAATTTACCACAAAGAAATGAATTTAAAAGAAAGAACCAAAAGAAAACTCCCAAAACTGATTAAAATAATCAAAACTAAAACCAAGCATGTTTGTAGGATAATACCAATTTGTGAACATTTCAAAAGGAGTGTCTTTATTTTGCTAGCCAAGCTGGATTTGCTTGGGAAAAAAAAATCAATATAACATTAGCATGTTGTATGAGAAAATTCTTTGTTTGGAAAATTTGTACTGAAAGTAAACAACTTTGGTTTCTTTTCTGGTGCTTGACATCTGAAAGGCAAAAGAAGATTGCAGTAGAAAGAATGATAGCCCATTCAACAACTGACTTCCTTTTTCATTTAACTCTTTTATTTAACTCTATTTACTTCCTTAGTTTTTAATTTTTCTAGAGAGGAACAGAGTGAGGGGGAGTGAGAGAGAAGGAAAGTGAGAAAGCAAGCCACCAGGTCTGGGACTTGAACTGTGGTTGGCCATGTGGGAGTCCAGTGCCCTTAACCACCAAGCCACCTGCTGGCCTCTCAACAACTGACTTCTATGGACATTTTGACTAACATGCCTGATGAAATTCCTATAAACAATTTAATTAAATTTATTTTTAGGTTTTTGCTATAGGGCACGTCTCACGAGAGAGAGAGAGAGAGAGAGAGAGAGAGAGAGGAAAGAGAGGGAGGGAAAGTGAGTAATCACCCCCAGAGGGTATGGCCATGCTCCAACCTTCTCTTAGGATTTTGGGCATGCACGTACATGTGCCCAGCATGTTTTCTAAGCCACCTGGTCTGAGATTCAAACTAGAGTTTGCCATATGGGATCTAGCACCCCACACCACCTGCTGGCCCAATTTATTAAATTTAGATTCAACTACTGGATTGTTGGGAAAGTTCATGACACATTTTTGCACAGAAAAACAAAAAGTCATGACTTTTCCAAAAACCTATTATATTTTCAGGATCAAACTCAACAATCAATAAATTATCTGTATATGAGTATCCAAATTTTCTGGAAGAAAAAAGGTAACATGTTAATACAAGTAGTACATACACTATATCATTTCAAAACCCACCTCAAGTCAAACAAGGAGACATGTTTTCAAAAACCTTCCTGCCTTTTTTTTTTTTTAAAGAGATTTTTGCTATAGGTGCATGTGTTCTCTGAGACAGACAGAAACCAAGAAATCATGCCCTGCAGGGATGCCTTCTCTTTTCATTCTCTCAGGATTCTAAGCACGTGTGCACAGACACACACACACACACACACACACACACACACACACACACACACACCTGGCATGAGTTTCAAGCTGCTGGGTCTGGGACTCAAACTGAGGTTGACCATGTGGGAGACCAATGCCTTAACCACTATGACACTTGCTGGCCCCCCTTCCTTTTAATGGGCAGTAGAAAACATCATCTTTGACAGTAAAGATCTGTCAATTACTGGGTTGTCAGAAAGGGCATGACCCATTTTTGCATATAAAAATATGTCATGACTTTTCCGATAGATTAAAAGGCTCACTATACTAAATATTAAATAAATTAAACTTTAAATGGAGAAAATACAGAAGACATTAAATAGTATTCCTTATTTTGTTTTTTATTTTTAATGAAATCTGACTATTCAACAAGGTTTCCATCAAATATAAAGCATGATTAAAAGGGAATCATGAGGTAAACATTTCAATCTGTCTCAATGGGAAAAAACCTTAATTTATATAGGTTTACTCTATGATCTAAGTAGTTTCTAATATTTGTACTACAGCAAGAAATAATTTTACTTACCAGAAGTATTGGCATACTCCCAATGGTATCCATGAATAAAGATTTAAAAAAATAAAAAATAAAGTCCAACTTTTTTCTTATGGTCATGACACAAAACACTTTTTTATAAAGTTGTTTTAAATTATGAAAGGAACAGGACTGAACGAGTGTAACTTAAATTTAATACCCAAGTATCCTTCTATACCTCAGATAATATTTTTTAAGAGATTTTTGTTTCTTGCAGAAGAGACAGAGAGAGAGAAAGTGAGAAACCATCCATCAGAGGAGATGGCTATACTGCAATCCCTGCTCCTCCATTATCCTCTCAGGATTTTGGGCATACAAACACATTTGCCCAGCATGAGTTTCAAGCTGCTGCATCTGGGACTCAAACCATGGTCAGCCATGTGAGAGTCCAACGTCTTAACCACTGCACAACCTGCTGGCCCCACACTCACCACTGTCTTTTTTTTTTTTTTAGTGGTTTTAGCATTAGGGCATGTGTGCTCACCAGAGAGAGAGCATGTGGGAAGGAAAGTGAAAAAACCCCCCCCCCCCCGGGGGACCAGCCACACCAGAATCCCTTCTCCTCTAATCTCCTCCTGGGATCTTGAGCACATGTGCACACGTGCCCAGCATGAGTATGAAGCCACCAAGTCTGGGACTCAAACCGTGGTCAGCCATGTGGGAGTCAAGCAACGTAACCACTGTGCACTTGCTGGCCACACCTCACTACTCTCTTAACTTAGACGGTCTGTGTGCCCCCTACAGGCTTCCTGAAGTGTGTGTGCTTTGAGCCCGCAGCCACCGAAAGTGTGTTGGACCACACTGTGGCAATGACGTGAGACTGCGCACCATCACCATCATGTTGGGCCTATGTATAGTAACACTTTTACTAGGCTTTCAGTCTGCCTAGCATTAAGTTATTTTTTTCCTAAAATATTAGTATTTTCTGTTATTCCTCCATTCATTGTCTTCCCTGTAGCTCCAGAAGTGACTCCACTATGCTGCTGAGGAAATATAAAGCACTCACTGTCTTTATTTCCTTATCAGCTTTGAAAATTTTCTGAAACAAAATTTAGTGACTATTTATTGTACAAAAAGGGTACTTTATATCTAATTGGTGAAGTATAAAGTGGAAATATATTATATCTATTTATATAAATAAGTAGTAAATTGTGACTGAGCTACTGTGTGTCTGCAGTGAATTTTATAGTAACCAAAGCCATGGAACAGTCCTTCAGAAAATAATGAATATTCACTAACTACTGCTATCCTGTAGAACAGGTTTACATTATTAAAATTTTTATATAAATTTTCAAGATAATTTATCCATTACATTTCACAAAAACTGAGGAACACTGGAATATCAGCAACTTTTAAAACTTTACAAAATTACTTTGCCAACTTATTTTTCATAGTTGATAACAAATACAAATTAATTTTGCCTTCATCCCACCTACCTGCTTTCTAATGGCATATGTGAGAATAGCCCGGATTCTCTCAATAAGCCCACTGCAGATCTCCAGTGGTGATTTTCCAATACTGAGGTATTCTACAAAAAAGTATGTTTCTGAGTTACTTAACAGTTAAGTCTCTTTCTGAACACAAAAAGTTATTTGTTAGTAATATTAATCTGGTTAAAATTCTAACATTCATTGAGAATTTATTTTCATTTCTTCAAAACATGAACCATTTCCTAGAATTCAGAAATAAGAAATTTCAATGACTGCACTAACCTTGTATAAAGTTGCCAAGTAATGGTTAGTTTTAATAAGGAAAGGTTGATTAACACCTGGATGATCCAGATCATGAGTGGCAGCTGCGATTAAGCTCAACAAGATATCCCAAGGAGTTACAGAACTGGCAAGCTAAAGTGTAAGAAAAGAATAATTAATTATGAGCATATCTAGAATAAACTCTATACCATTACAACAGCTTTGAATCAGCACATAGCAGGAGTACTGCTCACCCTTCCTGTCATTGTTCTCAGGCAGACTGTTTATTGACACCACCAGACACCCACCAGGGCTGGCCTCATCAGGTCACTGGGGCAGGTGCATACCACAGCATCTGAGCCCACATGGAGTTTACAGAGTTCATCCTCACACTGCTTTATTTTTATCAAGCTTGATTAACACAGCAGCTAAAGTATAAGCCATCCTTTTTGAGAAATTATGGCGTTAAAAGTGATAAACACGGGTTTGCAAGTTTTTATTATCGCAGCCATTATCAAATAGAAGATCTTACAATTTTGAGGATGTTTATCAACAAACTGGTTATTGGATTTCCATAACATAATTTAAACGGCAAAGTTATTCCTATCGTCCTAGTGTTTAAGGAACACATTACTATTCAGTAATCCTGTGAGCAGAAGTCTATCAAGTTTGTAATAAAAATCTTCTTCATTTGGAAGGTCATATTCAGATCAATGTACACAATATATTCATGTCAGAAAAAGTAACTCTGTAAACTGGCAACTATAATTTTACTTTCATTAATCACTGCCAAACATATCTGATACAATAAAATCATCACAAGAAATAAAAGTTTATTATTGGCTGACTGAAATTTTCAATGACAAAATACCACTTTGGGTGTATCATTTGCCTTCCATGAATTGTAACTTTTTTTTTTGGAGAGGTTTTTTTTTTTTTCTTTTTTTTTGTTATAGGGCATACACGCTTGCCAGAGAGACAAAGAGAGAGAGACAGAAAGCAAGAAATCACCCCCGCCCCCCGAGAGGATGGCCACATCGCAATCCCTTCTCCTCCATTCTCCTCTCGGGATCTTGGGCACACACGCACATGCGCCCGGCATGAGTTTAAACCACAGGGTCCAGGACGTGAACTGCGGTCGACTATATGGGAGTTCAGCGACATAGCCATTACGCTAACTGCTAGTCCCACGAATTGTAACTCATCATCTGCCAAACTTCTCATCTTTAAAGGTCCAATTCCGTTGGCCTGCCCCTCCTTGTCCTGTTTCCAGCCGATTCCCCAGCAAAGGACTGACCTATGTCCCTACAGCCCCTCACATATCCTGCCACAGAGGCACTTCTGAGAACACACTTTTACTCAGGTTTACATTAGGACAAGCTTCATAGACTTTTATGACTCTGTACCCTGACAGTGAAAATACAGGTATATTTTCTTATAGAGTGATAGTGACCTAACATACTACATATTATAAAACAAAAATGAAAACAGAAAAAAATTTAAATGATGAAAAAATTTAGATTCCAATTCTATTACTTTTTTAATATGCTTGAATGATCATCATTTTTCTATTTCTTCTGTTAAGTTCACTTCTACGCTTGAATGATCGTCATTTTTCTATTTCTTCTGTTAAGTTCACTGTAGTCAGAAAAAAAATCAGTGACTAAGGTCTTGAATCTCCTAGAAAGCTGTAAGCTAGTTGAAGGTAGAGAATGTGTATTGTTTATTCTTGCTGTATTAACTAGTAAGTGGAGACGCTCAATGAATAGGGAGGAGATGGCAAAGAAAATTATTTGTTCTCCTGGAGATGCAAGAGTTTTGTTTTGTTTTGTTTTGTAAGAGAAATTTTTGCTATTAGGGTATGTGCACTTGCCAGAGAGACAAAGAAATCACCCCCGAGGGATGGTGGCCACGCTGCAATCCCTTCCCTTCTCCTCCATTCTCCTCTCAGGATTTGGGACACACACACATGCCCAGCATGAGTTTTAAGTCGCAGGATCTGGGACTCAAATCGCGGTCAGCTATGCAGGAGTCCAGCAACATAACCATTATGCCATCTGCTGGTCCTGCTGCAAGAGATTTTTTAAAGCACTGTTTACTAACCCACATAAACAGAAGGCATGTGAGAGGGAGCACACTGCATATAAAATCACCTCCACTCCTTGATGTTAAAGTGAATGGGCATGTGTGTGAATATCTCATAAACATGCAATTTATTGGGTCATTGGAGAAGTCATGATGTATTTTTCTATGCAAAAATGCATCATGAATTTTCTGACAGCCCAATATTAAGACATAAGTGTTAAAATTCTAAATAGATTAGCAGTAGCAGAATAATAGATATATAACATTCTGGGAGAATAAAGGAATTCAGAATTAAGCTTATTTAAAAATCACATGTGGGGAACCAGCAGTTAGCGTAATGGCTATGTCGCTGGACTCCCACGTAGTCGACCGCGGTTTGCATCCCAGACCCAGTGGCTTAAAATTCACGCCGGGCGCGTGTGCGTGCGTGCCCAAGATCCGGAAAGGAGAATGGAGGAGAAGGGATTGCGGCATGACCATCCCCCCGGGGGGTGATTTCTCATCTTATGTCTCTATTTCTCTCTCTGTCTGTCTGGCGAGCGCATGCACCCTATAGCGAAAACCTCTCAAAAAAAAAAAAATCACATATGGCTCCTACACAGCAGAAGCGAGTGTGCACATAGAGGCCAGAGACCACCTAAGAACCTGCACACTCTATTCATCTGCTCCAGGTGCCAGTACAGCTTGCTTCCAACTTCCACCCTGCCATTCTTCCCAGTCTTGCATAGCATAAGCAAGTGTGCGGGCTGAGGCCAGAGACCATCTTGGAATGTCCACTCTCTCCTGTCCATCACATACTTTATAGTTTTCTGAAGTCCCACGTGACTCACTTTCTTTCTCAGTTGAAACCCTGTAGCTTAGCCCCAGGTACATCTGTTCTCTAGAATCTGGGAGGCATTTGGAACACCAAGTCACAGCAACAAAAGTGCAGGTTACAGGGTGAGCATCAGGCAGACGGCTAAGAGAACACGGGTCATATCCTCCTGCACACTTTTGAACACTCAAAATGAACTCTAAGAAATTAAAAGAAACGTATACTCCATCAGATGACCAGAAACCACCACAGAGGCACATGGAATATGAGAAACTAAGAAAATATATATCCCTCCCCTCAGGGGAAAATAATGATTCATCATTCACAGACAGCACAACAGAACTCGTGGAAATGTCAGATAAACAATTCAGAACATTCATAGTGGCAAAACTTAATGAGATGCAAGAGAAAAGAGACAATGAACTCCAGAAGATGCAAGAGAAAAGAAATGAGTTACAGGAGGTGAGGAAGTACTTCCACAATTTGAAAGAAGAAATAGATGCCATAAAAAAGAATCAAAAGGAACTCTTAGAGATGAAGGCTATAACACGGGAAATCAAAATCTCCCTTAAAAGTATTAAAAGCAGATTAGGTCATGCAGAAGATGGAATCTCGGATGTAGAAGACAAAACCTCTGATGCAGGAAAGAAACACCAAAACAAAAAAAAAAAAAATGAGGACAATATACAAATAATATTAGATTCCACTAAATGTCATGAAAGGTGAAGAAACTAAGGGAAATGAAAATCTATTCCATGAAATCCTGAAAGAAAACTTCCTAAGTCTAGAGAATCATTCAAATATCCAGACCCAAGAAATACAAAGGATCCTAAACAGAATCAACCCAAGATCTTCTCCATGGCACATCAGAGCCAGACTTATCAAAACACAAAGACAAAACAAAAAACAAAAAGAACCCCACAAAGACAAGATACTAAAATAGGCAAGACAGAAGGTACGAGAGAAAAGTCAATTTATTTACAAAGGAAATCCCATCATAATAACACCAGACCTATTGTTGGAAACCATGCAAGCAAAGAAAGAATGGAGAAATATATTCAAAGTGTTAATTAAATGAAAAAGAATTTCAACCAAGATTACTATACCTGACAAGATTATCCTTCATATGGGTAGCAAAGATAAAAAACATTCTTAGATAAACAAAACCTGAAAGAATTTACCAACTCCAGACCAGCTCTTCAAGAAATTCTGAGGGGAGCGCTATATCAAGAAAACTACAGACAGACAGAAATAAGAGAATAAAACACAACCAAGAAAATGGCCAACTTATTGGTAGGGACAAGTCCAGAAATAGCAACAAAAAGGTTGAATGTTAATGGTTTAAATTCTCCAGTCAATAGACACAGACTGGCTAAATGGATTAAAAAAATAATAAAATAAAAAATACCAGAAACCCTCCATCTGTTGCCTACAAGAAACCCATCACATACGCAGACTAAAAGTGAAGGGCTGGAAAATGATGTTCTATGCAAATGGAAATCAAAAAAGAGTAGGGGTCACCAATACTGATTTAAGACAAAATAGGCTTTAAGACAAAAACAGTCAGAGTGAAAAAGGGCATTATGTAACAGTAAAAGGACAAATGCATCAAGAAGACATAACACTAATTAATATCTATGAATCCAATTCAGGAACATCTAAATATGTGAAGGGAAGGCTACTAGATCTAAAAGGAGAGAGAGACTATACTAATTGTTGGGGACCTCAACACCTCATTATCTCTTTTAGATAGATCAATGAGACAAAAAATAAGTAAAGAGATTCAGGACCTAAATGATACCATAAATCAGATGTATTTGACAGATATCTGTAGAACTTTCCACCCCAAAACCATGAAATATACATTTTTTGCAGGGTACCTTCTGGAAGACTTGACCACATGATAGGGCACAAAATTTATAGACTCAAAGGCATAGAAACTATATCCAACATCTTCTCTGACTATGATGGAATTAATTTGGTGTCAATTTTAGGAAAAACCCTCGAAAATACACAAATACATGGAAACTAAATAATCTACTCCTCAAGGCCAGCAGGTGGTATGATGGTTAAGGGTGCTGGACTCCCACATGGCCGACTGCGGGTTTGGTCCCAAACCTGGTGGCTTGCTTTCTCATTTTCCCTCTCTCTCTCACTCTGCCCCTCTCTGGTCAAATAAAAATAAATAAATAAATAAAGTCAAATAAAATAATTAAAAGAAAATAATAACATACTCCTGAATGACCTTACAACT